CATCATCATCATCTTCATCATCATCATCATCATCATCATCATCATCATCATCATCATCATCCTCTTCATCATCCTCATCCTCATCCTCATCCTCATCCGCATCTTCATCCTCATCAGCATCATCAGCAGCATCATCATCATCAGCATCAGCACCATCGTCATCATCATCATCAGCATCATCATCAACATCATCAGCATCAGCATCATCATCATGATCATCATCATCAACATCATCATCGTCACCATCATCATCATCATCATCATCATCATCATCATCATCATCGTCATCGTCATCATCATCATCATCATCATCATCATAATCATAATAATAATCATCATCATCATCATCAGCATCATCATCATCAACATCATCATCATCGTCATCATCATCGTCGTCTGCATCATCATCATCATTAGCAGCATCATCATCATCATCCGCATCATCATCATCAGCATCATCATCAGCATCATCATCATCATCATCATCATCAGCAGCATCATCATCATCGTCATCATCATCATCAGCAGCATCATCATCATCCTCATCATCCTCTTCCTTATCCTCATCTGTATCCTCATCATCATCCTCATCATCATCAGCAGCAGCATCAGCATCATCCTCATCATCATCCTCATCCTCCTCCTCATCATCCTCATCCTCATCCTCATCATCATCCTCATTATCCTCATCATCCGCATCATCCTCATCATCCTCATCATCTTCATCATCATCAGCATCATCAGCATCATCATCAGCATCATCGTCATCATCATCCTCATCTCCTCCTCATCCTCCTCCTCCTCATCATCCCCCTCCTCCTTCTCCTGCTCAGTCTCATCCTCCTCCCCCTTTTCCCCCTCCTACTCCCCCTCCTCCTCCTCTTCCTCCTCCTCCTCCTCCTCCTCCTCCGCCTCCTCCTCCTCCCAACTCCTCCTCCTACTCCTCCTCCTCCGCCGCCGCCTCCGCCTCCGCCTCCGTCTCCGCCCCCGCCTCTTCTTCCTCCTCCTCCTTCTCCTTCTCCTCCTCCTCCTCCTCTCCTCCTCCTCCTCCTCATCATCCGCCTACTCCTCCTCCCGTCCTACTCCTCCTCCTCTTCCTCGCCCTCCTCCTCCTCCTCCTCGCCCTCCTCCTCCTCCTCCTCCTTGTTGCTGTGCTGGTTATTATTAGTGGGTGTATGATTGCTTGTGTTATTCGCGTCATTCGTCTTCGTAATAATCTTAGCTGATGCATTCGTTTCCTTAGAAGTAGTCTTCTTTTCTTGATAGCGTTCGAATTAGCATTATAGTGCGTATTCGTATGCTTCTTTCGTTATTGTATGATCCTTCTGCTGATTATCATTATTGTCATTGACATTCTTCCTCTCAGTACGATTATTGACATTGTTATTGTTGTGTCTCCTCTTCCTCCTCCTCCTCCTCCTCCTCCTCCTCCTCCTCCTCCTCCTCCTCTTCCTCCTCCTCCTCATCCTCCATCCCCGTTCCCCCCACCCACCATCATCATCCCCATCCATCCGTCTCCTCCAGCGACGGCTCCCCACCCCCCTGGTCGCGCCGGCAGGCATGCGTCGGCGGGCGCGGGCCGCGCGTTTCGCCCGAGCGTTCCTCACCGCCCGAGCGCTCCAGCACATGATCGGATGGAGGACGGCCCGTTTTCAATATGCGGCTCTCGCCTCAGAGCCGCGCACAATCGATCCTGACGCTCCCTACGCAGGCACGGCTCCCACACGTACACGGATGGGCGGCGGCCTGCTCTCAGGCTGTGGCTCTCGCCTCGGCGCCGCGCACACTCAGGTTTAGAAGTGCCCGACAGCTACATGGATGGAGGGCTGGCCTTTTTCGAACTGGCGCGTTCGCTTGGGACCTCCCCGAATGATACGACCCGAAGTGCAAACGAATGTAACAAAACACACGCAGGTGCGGTCCCTTCTTCAAGATAGGACTCTCGCCTACGACTGCCTCATACACTTGACCAGACTCGTGAAAGCGCCCAACACTCACACGGATGTGGGGGCCACTCGTTTCCACACACACACAACGAGCTCGCTGCAAATCTTCCAAACTTCGTGGCCACACTTGTTGGTGGCACTTCGCCTCAGGCTAGAAGGCGTGAAGGTGGCTCTTGTTCAAAACCGGGCACTCACCCCGCTCACCTGTCCAAGGGGCGCTTCCCGCAGTGAGGACGACTGCGCGCTGGGACTGACGAGGGAGAAACTTGAGACGGGAGGGTTCACTGCGACACCGCTGACCCATCCTCAGGCTTATTCGGGTCCTCCTCCTCCTCCTCCTCCTCCTCCCGCTCCTCCTCCTCCTCCTCCTCCTCCTCCTCCTCCTCCTCCTCCTCCTCCTCCTCCTCCTCCCCCTCCTTCTCCTCCTCCTCCTCCTCCTCCTCCTCCGCCTCCTCCTACCTCCCCCTCCTCCTCCTCCTCCTCCTCCTCCTCCTCCTCCTCATCCCCCTCCTCCTCCTCGCCTGCACGCCGACATGGCCGCACTGCGACGACATGGCCCCCTCAGAGCCCCCGCGCGGCAGCCTTCACTCAGCCACTGAGCCGCCGCTCCGCGCCCACCAGTACGGTCGAGAACTTTTGAATAGCGCGTCGCCATGGCGGCCCCGGCGAAACGCCATGCCCTGCGAGCGGATAGTGTGTCGACCTCAGACGTGCGATGTCCTGATGTGCTCGATGCGGGGCCCCCAGAAGTCAGGACCCTTTCCCCAAGGCGGGTTTTTCATCCCGAATCATTATTCGACGGTCCGGGGGCCTGGCCAGGGCCTCTGGAGGCCAAACACGACCAAAAGCCTCCCGTGCTGACATGTTCACGACGCGAGCATGTCTGAGACTGTATTTAATCAGCTGGCACAATCCGAGAAGAGGGTCCCCCGCCTTGGACGCCCGAAAAGGGTACGGAAAAAAAGGCACGAGGCCCAAATGGTTTTCCAAAACCGAAAGCAGCCGCTGCTTCGGGAGCGTCCAAGAGGGGGGCGTCGAAGAGGGCGGGGGCGCAAATCATGGCCAGCGGCATGTGCGCGGCCCAGGGGGGGGCCGGGGACGTATAAAACTAAGAGGAGGCGCCATGAAATCTGAGGAGATATCATGGCCCGCGCCATGATATCCACCCCCCCTAGTCACCAACCCCCTCTTGGCCGCCCCCGACTGTTGGGCAGGCGGCCTTTTTCTCAAGTGGACGACATCCGCGGCGACCCCGACTGGCAAGCCTTGTGCAGAATGAGCCGGGACTGCCGTCGGTCTTCCTACCCGTTCTTCCCACACTCGGCGGCGAGCCAGGGGCGGAGTGAGAAGAAGAAGGCCTTCTCAGAAGGCTCGAAGTCCCCTGGCCTTCTGAGAGGTTTTCTGAGCCTTCCCCGAGACCACGGAAAACTTCTCGGAAAGCCGGGGGGCCTCTGAGAAGTGTTGTAGGCCTGCCCCTAAAGGTGCAGAAAGCATTCCAGAAGGCGACGGGGCTTCTGAGCAGCCCCGCCGCCTTCTGAGAGGGCCCTCCTTGTCGGCCCGCCCCGCTGCCCGAAGAAGAGATGCGGGGGCCCACGCTGCCACGCTGGCGAATAGCTGGGCGTGACCCAGTTGGGTTTAGCATGACTTTCGCGCTCTCGCCTTCGGGATCGCAGACAAGGTACAAATTGTACTTTTGACAACGTCCGCGACATGTGCGAGGACGTTAACGGGGGGGGAGAAGGCACAATTTGTACTTGCAACCCGAAGAGAAGGTACAAATTGTACCCCAACAAAACGGTACCGGATAATCATCCCCCCATGTCCTTATCCCCCCATCGCCATCCGGCCGAATCAGGGATACGTCCTGATTCGAGCCTCCCGTTTTCGCGCCGGAGTCGCGCTGTATTGCAGAAGGCCTTCTCCCTCTCACTTCCCCCCCTTGCTCGCCGCCGACTTACCCACTTCGATCGTACCGACTCGCCCCAAGGCCGGGCTACTGGCGACGTTGCTAAACGGTGATGGTGGGAACCAAATTGCAGGAAATCACGAACCACACTCTCCTGCACTGCCAGTCTGCGAATGGATCGAGCGAACGCGACACAGAGAATGGCAGGGAAGCGCGAGCCACGCGTTCCCATGCGACCGAAACCTACATCGCCGTTGGCCCGTCTGCGGCCGACCCGCCACCTTGGAAGTCGAGGCAGATCACAGCCTCGGGGCTCGCCGGCTCCGCCGCGGCCACCTCGGGCGGCGCTCGCCGCCTCGGCAGCAGGCTTGGCACGAGCCAGCCGCCCCCGTCCGCCCCCGCCGGGCTCGGGACCAGCAGGTCGAAGTGCTCCAGGAACCTGACCAGCGTCTCCCTGCAAAGAGGGGAGGGGGAGCTGACGCTGTGCGACTCTTGCAGTGCGCGCGCGTCGTGTAACTCACGGCATTGCAACTGGGAGGAGGAAGGGGAGCGGAGGGGGAGGGGAAGAGACGAAGGGGGGGGGGGGAGGCAAAGGAAAACACCCCACCGCACCAGCGCTCGCACCCGGCAGCCAAGGCGCCCCAGCCTGGCACGACGGAATGGCAGCCGCCCTCCCACGGGCGGATGGTGGGTCGACCCCCCTGCGGACGCGGGAGCATCCGCCGACGGAGGAGGAGGCCCCCACCGGGAGGCGCGATCCCCACCGGAGCATACAGCGCGGCAGCGCTGCCGCAGGCTGCTGCCCGTGCGCCGTGGCCGCGCGGCGCGCCCGCCGCGGAGCGGCTGCCCTGCGCCTCTCTCGCGGTGCGCGCGCGCCGGCCCGGCGGGGGCCGGCGCGCTCACGGGCGCCGGCGCACCGATGCGCGGCGAATCGGCGAGCTCCCGGGCGGTGCGTCGGCGACGTCGACGTGGAGGAGAAAGCTGGGCTCCACAGGCGGTTGCACGCAGGAGTTGACGAACCAACAACAAACACCCATACCCATAGGGGGATCGGAGAGGGCTATGGGTGCGTGTTGTCGGATGGGGGCCCCCGCTCGAACGGGAGCGTTCCCCAGGGTCCGACAACCCGCACCCATACCCATAGCCAGTCCTCCTCCCAACGACCCCCCTATGGGTATGTGTGCGTGTTGTCCGTTCGTCAGGAGTGGCCCCATGGGCAAGAGTGGCCCTTGGCGCGCGGACCTCGGGGGGGGGGAGGCCCACTCCGAGCAGTGCAAGAGCGCCGAGGCAGTGCCTGCAAGACCCCCTTTTGTGCGCCCGCACCGAAAGGTCACTCCAGCAAAAAATCACTCTCACGCATACCCGGCACATTGATCCGCATCGCCGATGCACCAGCGCTGCGGCGCGATCCCCCCCGAGAAAATCGGTCAAGAACGCGGGAGAAGGACCAATCCGCTCAAAGTCAATACCCAGACTTAGGTCGGACATGTGCCCCTACAGGCGGATTGTGGACGAAAAATGAATGAAAATATACCAAAAATATCCCAAAAAGGTCAGAAATAGTTTAAAAATCGTCCCCTGAGCATTTCTGTTGTACTATGTTTGAATACTCCTCCTGTAGAGGGACGCGCCCGACTTAAACCCAGACCCCTCCTGGGGTCTGTCTGTCGGCTACACGCAAGAGTGAGTGACCTTTGGTGCGCGGCTTTTGGGGGGCCGCGGGGGGGCCAAACCCAAGCGCGCAAGACGCTACTATCGCATCGCGTTCGGGGATCGGTGGACCCCAGTGGGCCCGCACCAAAGGTCACTCTGGCGAAAGGTCACTCTTACGTGTAGTCGAATCTGGTGCACTTTTCCTCCGCAGAGCCGGTTCTGACGGCCGCGGGCCCCGCAGACGGGGCCCCCCGAGGCTGGACCTCCTCGAACCCAGAGCCTCGGACCTCACACCCCTTCCCTGCTCGCAGGAACCGGTGTAGGTCGGGCACGTCCCCCTGCAGGCGGATTCGGGGGCAAAAATGAAAAACGGTCAAAAGGCGATCCAAAGAATACCCCAAAAAATACTCCTAAAGTCGTCCCCAGACTGTGTATACTGTTTTTGAATTTCCTTCCTGTAGAAGGGCACGCCCGACATAAAACCAGTGCTGGGCCACCTCAGACCCCAACCGGCTCCACGATGCACCAGCGATGCGGCGCGACATCCCCCCTGGCCCCGACCGCTCGGACACTCACCTGGGAGGCTGTGAGCCAGGCCGCTGCCGAAGGAGCACCGCGAACTCCAGCGCTCCGCCCAACGAAGCTCTCCAGAGGAGGCCCCCAAGCGGCCCCAAGAGGCCCCCATGAGGCTCCCAAGAGGCCCCAAGGAGCCCCCAAGAGGCCCGAAAGAAGCCCCAAAACGGCCCCCAAGACCCTTCGAAACTGCCTCGAAGAGGCCCGCGAGAATCCTCGCCACGTGATCCCAACGAACATCCCAGAGCGTGTCATGATTCGGACAAGCCTCGCGGAATGCAGTCCTGGAGGCGCAGTAATTTAAAGAGGGGTCGGCGGATGTGGCGTAAGCCTATAGAATCCACGTCCGGAAGTGACGTGTTGCCGGAGGCAGGTCCGCGGATGCTGTAATGCAATGGATCCAATGTGTCCAATGCTTGCATAATTCCTACATATTGTATTGTATTACATTATTATGTCTCCCCCCCTCACCCCCCCCTGGAGTCGCGCCACTTCCATCGACCCTCAGGAGGAGGGCCCCTTCTGGGCCTCAAAATCTAAAAAAAACCTACGGAAAACCGATGATTTGGGCACCTTGAGCCTTTTGGGGGTCCAAGAGGGCCCCAAGACGGCTCCAGATGGCCCCAAGACGGCCCAAGACGGCCCTAAGACGGCCCGAGATGGCCCCAAGAGGGCCCAAAAAGAACCCAAGACGGCCCAAGAGGGCTCCAAGAGCGCCCACAAGAGCGCCTCCAGAGGCCAAAAACATAGATTGTCCTGACGTTTTTGAAAGATTTTAGCTTTCTCGCCTTTTTCGCCTCTCCGAAGCCCATGACGGCCCGAGCAGCCTCCAAGATGGCCCCAAGAAGGCCCAAGAAACACCCAAGGGGGCCCCAAGACGGCCCCAGAGGGCCACAAGACGGCCCAAAGAGGCCCCCAAGACGGCCCAAAAAACCCCTGAGACGGCCCAAGAGGACCCCAAGAGGGCCCCAAGGCGGCCGCGAGAGGCCCCCAAGAAGTCCTCCGAAGGGGCCAAACGGCGCGAAAGCGCCCCAAAACGGCCCAAGACGCCCCCAAGAGGCCCCAAGAGGCCACCAAGAGGCCCCCAAATGGCCCCAAAAAGCCCCCCAGAGACCTCCGAAAAGTCCCCAAGAAGCCTCCAAAAGGCCCCAAAGAAGCCCCCCAAAGGCCACATAGCGTCTGGAGTGTAATATTATTTCCCCCCCTGGACGAACTGCGGCGCAGCGCCAGCCAGGTGGAAGTTGGTCACGGCGGCGCCCATGATTAGAGCCAGCGCTGGAAGGGAAGATGGGGAGGGAGTCAAAAAAGGGGGGGAAGAGGCCAGAAGAAGTCCCCAAGAGGCCCAAAGAAGCTCCCAAGAGGCCTCCAGGAGGCCCCCAAGAGGCTTCCAGAAGGCCCCGCGACGTGACTGTACGTGCTCCGGACGTGCACCCCGCGAAGCGAGAGGAATCCACGTCCGGAAGTGACGTGCTAGGCGGCAGCGTTTTCTGCGGAGGCGATAATGCAAAGTACCCAAATGTATCCAAGTGTTGCATAATCGCCACATATTGTATTGCGTTACATTATTATGTCTCCCCCCTAACCCCCCCCAGGGGCTACGCCACATCCGTCGACCCAAGATGGACACCCCCTCCCGGGGCTCAACAACTTACCAAAACCCATAGAAAATCAATGATTTCGACCTCTTGGGCCTTCTGGGGGGCCACGAGGGCGCCAAGACGGCTCAAGATGGGCTCAAGAGATCCCAATAAGCCCCAATGACGGCCCAAGAGGGCCCCAAGAGCGCCCCCAACTGCGATTTTCCTATTGTTTTTTGGCGAGATTTCAGCGTTCTCGCGCTCGCGACCCAAAAAGCTTCCAAAATCGCCCCGGAACAACCAAAAAAGTCCCCAAGAGGGCCCCAAGAGGGCCCAAGACGGCCCCAAGACGGCCCAAAGAGGCCCCCAAGACGGTCCAAGAGGCCGCTAAGACGGCCCAAGAGGACCCCAAGAGGGCCCCAAGGCGGCCGCGAGAGGCCCCAAGACGGCCTCTGAAGGAGCGAAACAATAGAAAAACGCCCAAGACGGCCCAGGACGCCCCCGAGAGGCCCCAAGAGGCCCCCAAAACGCCCCCAAGGGACCCCAAGAAGCCCCCAAGAGGCCCCCAAGAGGCCCCCAAAAAGTCTCCAAGAAACCTCCAAAAGGCCCCATAGAAGCCCCCCAAAGCCCACACAGCGACTGGAGTGTACTGTCATTTTTCCCCCCTGGGCGAAGTGCGGCGCAGCGCCAGCCAGGTGGAAGTTGGTCACGGCGACGCCCATGATTAGCGCTGGCGCTGGAAGGGGATATGGGGAGGGAGTATGAAAAGGAGGGAGGGGGGAGAGGCCCCAAAGACGTCCCCAAGAGGCCCAAAGAAGCTCCCAAGAGGCCTCCAGGAGGCCCCCAAGAGGCCCCCAAGAGGCCCCGCGACGACGTGACCAAGACGGTACAGGATGGCCCCAAGAGGGCCCCCCCAAAAAAAACGGACGCCCCAAGAGGGCGCCAAAAGGACCTCCAAGAGCGCTTCCAGTAACAAAAACAATAGATTTCCCATAGGGTTTTGAAAGATGTTGGCGTTCCACGTACGGAAATGACGTGCTGAGCGGCCTGGATATGGCCACCAGCCCCGCCCCCAATGGTGCCAAACGGCGAAAGAGCCCCCCAAAACGGCCCAAGACGCCCCCACTAAACTCCCGAGAACCCCCGAAACGACTTCACTATACGTACTCCGGACGTGCACCCCGCGAAGCGAGAGGAATCCACGTCCGGAGGTGACGTGTTGCCGGAGACAGGTCCGCGGAGGCTATAATGCAACGTGTCCAATGTATCAAATGATTGCATACTTGCTACATATTGTATTGTGTTACATTATCATGTACCCCCCTAACCCCCCCAGGAGCCACGCCTTCCGCCGACCCAAACTGGCCCCTCCCTCCTGCGCCTCAAAAACCTACAAAATCAAACCAAAACCTATGGAAAATCAATGAGTTGGGCCTGTTGGCCCTCTTGGGGGCCCAACAGGGCCTCAAGACGGCTCGAGATGGCCCCAAGACGGCCCACGACGGCCCCAAGACGGCCAAAGATGGCCCCAAGAGGCCCTACAAAGACCCCAAGACGCCCCAAGAGGTCCCCCAGAGGACCCCCAATAGCACCTCCAGCAGCCAAAAACCATGAATTTTCCAATGGTTTGTTGAAGACCTCAGCGTTCCCGCCTATTTCGACTCTCAGAGGTCCAGAACGGCCGAAACAGCCTCCGAAGTGCCCCCCAGACGGCCAAAGAAGCCCTCAACAGGGCCCCAAAACGGCCCAAGAGGGCCCCCAGGCAGCCCAAAGAGGCCGCCGAGATGCACCAAGAAGCCCCCAAGACGGCCCAAGAGTACCCCAAGACAGTCTCCGAAGGGACCAGACAGCGCAAGAGCGCCCCAAAGACGCCCACACGGGGCTCCGAAAGGCCCCCAAGAGGCCCCCAACAGTCCTCCCAGAGGCCCCCGCGAGGACCCAAGAGGCCCAAAGAGGCCTCCAAGGGGCCCCCAAGAAGTTCCAAGAGGCCCGACAACGACTGGACTGTACGTGCTCCGGACGTGCACCCCGCGAAGCGAGAGGAATCCACGTCCGGAGGTGACGTGTTGCCCGAGGCAGGTCCGCGGAGGCTATAATGCAACGTATCCTATGTATCCAATGATTGCATAATTTCTACATATTATATTGTGCTGTGTTACATTATTATGTACCCCCCCTTAACCCCCCCCAGGGGCCACGCCACTTCCGCCGACCCAAAGTGGCGCCTCGCTCCTGCGACTCAAAAACCTACCAAAACCTATAGAAAATCAGTGCGTTGGGCCTGTTGGCCCTCTTGGGGCCCAACAAGGCCTCAAGACGGCTCGAGATGGCCCCACGACGGTCCAAGATGGCCCCAAGACGGCCCAAGATGGCCCCAAGAGGCCCTACAAAGACCCCAAGACGCCCCAAAACGGCCCCCAGAGGACCCCCAAGAGCACCTCCAGAAACCAAAAATCATTGATTTTCCTATGGTTGTTTGAAGATTTCAGCGTTCCCGCCTATTTCGACTCTAAGAGGTCCAGGACAGCTGAAACAGCCTCCGAAGTGGCCCCCAGAGGGCCGAAGAAGCCCTCAACAGGGCCCCAAAACGGCCCAAGAGGGCCACCAGACAACCCCAAGAGGCCCCCAAGACGGCCCAAGAGTACCCCAAGACAGTCTCCGAAGGGACCAGACAGCGCAAGAGCGCCTCCAAGACGCCCACACGGGGCCCCAAGAGGTCCCCAAGCCCCCAAGAAATTCCCAAAGGCTCGACAACGACTGGACTGTACGTGTTCCGGACGTGCACCCCGCGAAGCGAAGGAATCCACGTCCGGAGGCGACGTGCTCAGCGGCAGCGGTTTCCGGCGAACGCCTTGATGCAACGTATCCAATGTATCCAAAGATTGCATAATTACAACATATTGTACTGCGTTACATTATTATGTCTCCCCCCTAACCCCCCCCCAGGGGCTACGCCACATCCGTCGACCCAAAATGGCCACCCCTTCCCAGGGCTCAAAAACCTGACAAAACCTATAGTATATCTATGATTTCGACCTCTTCCACGAGGGCGCCAAGACGGCTCAAGATGGGCCCAAGAAGGCCCAAAAAGCTCCAATGACGGCCCAAGAGGGCCCCAAGAGCGCCCCCAACTGCGCCTCCAGAGGCCAAAATCATTGATATACCCATGGTTTTGGTGATATTTCAGCGTTCTCGCCTTTGCGGCCCAATCAACTTCCAAAATCTCCAAAAAGTCCCCGAGAGGGCCCCAAGACGGCCCAAACAGGCCCCCAAGACGGTCCAAGAGGCTCCTACGACGGCCCAAGAGGACCCCAAGAGGACCCCAAGAGGGCCCCAAGGCGGCCGCGACAGGCCCCCAAGACGGCCTCCGAAGAAGCGAAACGGCAGAAAAACGCCCCATGACGACCCCAAAAGGCCCCCAAGGGGCCCCCAAGGGGCCCCAAGAAGCCCCCAAGAGGCCCCCAAGAAGTCTCCAAGAAACCTCCAAAAGGCCCCATAGAAGCCCCCCAAAGCCCACACAGCGACTGGAGTGTACTGTCATTTTTCCCCCCTGGGCGAAGTGCGGCGCAGCGCCAGCCAGGTGGAAATTGGTCACGGCGGCGCCCATGATTTGAGCTGGCGCCGGAAGGGGATATGGGGAGGGAGTATGAAAAGGAGGGAGGGGGGAGAGGCCCCAAAGACGTCCCCAAGAGGCCCAAAGAAGCTCCCAAGAGGCCTCCAGGAGGCCCCCAAGAGGCTCCTAAGAGGCCCCGCGACGACGTGACCAAGACGGTACAGGATGGATGGCCCCAAGAGGGCCCCCCCAAAAAAACGGACGCCCCAAAAGGGCGCCAAGAGGACCTCCATGAGCGCTTCCGCAAACAAAAATCATTGATTTCCCATGGGGTTTTGAAAGATTTTGGCGTTCCACGTCCGGAAATGACGTGCTGAGCGGCCGCGACATGGCCACCAGCCCCGCCCCCAATGGTGCCAAACGGCGAAAGAGCCCCCCAAGACGGCCCACGACGCCCCCACGAAACTCCCGAGAACCCCCAAAACGACTTCACTGTACGTACTCCGGACGTGCACCCCGCGAAGCGAAAGGAATCCACGTCCGGAGGTGACGTGCTCAGCGGCAGCGTTTTCCGGCGAACGCCTTAATGCAACGTATCCAATGTATCCAAAGATTGCATAATTGCAACATATTGTATTGTGTTACATTATTATGTCTCCCCCTAACCCCCCCCAGGGGCTACGCCACATCCGTCGATCCAAAATGGCCACCCCAATTTGGGGCTCAAAGACATATCAAAACCTATGACCAAAAAACTATGATTCAGGACTTTGGGCCCTCTGGAAGGCCCACTAGGGCCTCAAGACGGCTCCATATGGCTTCAAGACGGGCGAAGACGGCTCCAAGACGGTCCATGATGGCCCCAAAAGGGCCCAAGAAACTCCTAAGACGTCCCAAAAGGGCCCCAAGACGACCCCCAAGAGTGCCTCCAGAAGCCAAAATCATTAATTGTCCTATAGTTGTTGGATGATTTTAGCGTTCTCGCCTTTCTCGACTCTCAGAAGCCTATGGCCGCCCAGCCCCAAGGCGGCCGCGAGAGGCCCCCAAGACGGCCTCCGAAGGGGCGGAACGGCGCAAAAGCGCCCCAAGACGGCCCAAGACGCCCCCAAGAGGCCACGAGAGGCCCCAACAGGCCTCCAAGGGGCTCCAAAAAAAAACCAAGAGGCCTCCAAGAAGTCCCCAAGAAGCCTCAAACTGGCCCCATAGAAGCCCCCACAAGGCCACACAACGACTGGAGTGTAATGTTATTTTTCTCCCCCTTGGCGAACTGCGGCGCAGCGCCAGCCAGGTGG